TGTACTTTTCAGCCTTTGCTTTTTATGATATTGTCAATTTTTAGATATCTCTTTCGGCATTGCATTTTACCTTCGGTTTACTTTCATTCAATGGCTCTCCCACCCTAGTCAACTAGACAGTCATGTTCTTTGCCTGATGACTGTATAGCAGTCCATGTAGGTACGGATTATGAATCACGGACTCAACGGAAACACTGAATCGCATTAGCACTTGCACACTCGTATCTCTCGTCACCGAGACGCAGGAAAAAGATCACAGAAGTAGAGGCTCGTTTACTGAAAGAAATCATCGGGATTAAATTTTATACAAATAGAAATATCATTGATCAAACGAATATCAGCCAATCGTTTTCCTCGTTTTTCATGGCCTCTGTTTGATTGATCCATGGCCCAAGGTCCAGAATCTGGAACGGGTAGACGCTGTGTCTGAATATATTACTGGAATTATCAGAGGTCACTATGCTGTACTCCCTGCTGCTATCCTTTGTCCCAGCAGCTCTAGATGGAAGAATCTCTCTCTTCTGTTCTTCTTAAAACTATTATTGGGAGCCGTGGTCAATGAGGATTACTGCCCTTGCAAAGTAATAACTATAACACTTGAAGCTGGAGATGTTTGAGATATCAATGACTAATCGTTATATTGGCGACCCCGAAAAAATCGTTGGTGCCTTAGCCGTCGCCCTATTCCTTATGCTCAGCGATCCAATAACCGAATTTACAATTCATCCTTTGTGAGGGCATCGCATTGGTAGAAGGTCTATTTAAACACCTTATTTTCAAGTTACAATAGATGCACTTCCATACTACTGAGCAGGCCCTACTCATTCACTGACGCCTTCCCGTGGCGGAGGTGTTGTATCACCATAGTGAACTGGACATTGGCCCCCAAGGGATTGCGGCTTTTAGACACCGTCCAGCTACCTTGTAAGTTAAGCTTTGATTAGCCGAAGGCTCCGGTTGTGAGTTTCCCAAGAGAATTTACCTGCCTTGGCCTAGGCATCCTGGTAATATCGTACCCACAAACTAATAATGGAACTTCTTTTTTAAAAGTTATCGTACTGTGATTTGTTTGGCATACAGCCCGGTCTCAGATGTGTGTGAGATAGAAATAAAACAAACTCCAGACCTAGTCAACAGCACTGATGATGATGACAGGTTCCACAAATGTCAGGTTGGATTTCCAGTCTGACTGACTTTTGGCATCCACTGTAACAAATTGGAACCTTCCGTTCGGAATGTATCCTCAGTGAATGCGAAGTTTCAACATGACTTGCATAATTGTGACGTCAATCAATCGTTCTTGACGCGTATGGGCAGCAAAAAGTGAAAAGGTAAAAGTACACTCCATCTTTCATCACGATTATTTTAAGTTCCTGAGTCATGGAAGGAATACATAACAGCTAAGCAAAATTAGGGATCGTTTTATGAGGTCACATATCATAAACAGATGGAAACCGAATTCGATTATTTTACTGAGTGGAATTTTTATGGATACTTCATTTATAACTAATACATCGCGTCTCCAAGTCAGAGAGAGAGAACGCATTTCAGTAATCAAAACCCCACACGAACGCACTCCAAGGTCACCTGACCAACTTAGCACTAAATGCGTGCAGAAACGAAATCGCGATGATCATTCGGATGGTGCGCGTCAACCGAGAGTATCTGACACCAGGTGTGAGTTGTATCCGCATTCCGTTCACGCGATTCACCAACGCAAAACACAAAACAAAAAATGACAGCCGGAGGATTGCTAAACTTTGAATCTAGCTTAAAGAAACCGGTTCTTTTTACGTCTGATTACGGATTTATTCCAATGTCTTATTTTCGGGTTCGGTCCACCATAGTCGCTATAATTTACGCCTACGGTGTATATATTTTGTTGTTGGTATTAAACTTCCTCAGTTTTTTTCCTTCATAAGTCAGATTAGTCCCATTGACAGAATCAACCATCTCTGCACACATGCTTTTCCTTTACTTGGACAATGTTGTGTCTCCGGACCTAGGCCACCTAGGTGGTCATCACCCGTTGGAAGCTGCAAGCTTCTCTAGTCCGCTGTGGAAATGATCGCAATACAACGGTCGCTAAGGTATCCTGATATCCGTCGTTCTCTTTTGGTTCGTCCATGCATCCGTTGTTCGTTGTACATGTTTCTTGAACGTCGTTGGTCAAAACATTAAATACCTGTACCCACGGGTGGACTTTTTCACTGGCCTTTAGTCTGAACTCAGTTTACTTACATAATATGACTTCAGCTCTCTCCAACACAGTTGTTCAGGTATCCTCTCCCTGATCAACGTGGTCTGTGAACGAAATATTATACCTGGTCAAGTTGAACCGAAAAAGCGTAGACTGGGAAGTTCATGTAGTCTCACCAGACATGTGGCAGCAGTTTTTCTGTCGTGGTGCTAGCATTTAAACAGGACGACCGGCAAAATACCAATTTTAAAGAACACAGAATCAAACAAGAATTTTTGGAGTTATTCCATCTCTGGTTAACACACGCACAGGTTGAAAATCGTTCAGATCAGTACAAAAATCCGATGGAATCAATAACGATCGACTTATTTTTAAGTTATGCCGTGCAATTTGAAAAAGTGTAAGCAGCAGAGTTGTATTGTTGTTGTGGTGGTAGTCTGGAAAATCAGTTGAGTGAGCTTATCGGTTTTCAGCCGGTGTCACTGGATCATAATAAAATTCGCGAGTGCATTAGTTGGCTAATTCAGGTTGAGTCTAGTGTAAATCAAGTGACTGAATGAATTGGTGCTGAGTACAAGCAACAATAAATAATAATAATCAAGTCCGATCTTATTCTGGCATTTTCCGCCATAAATTTCTAGTTTTATTTGTACGGGGAAAAACTATCCAGACCAGGTTTTTCCTTGTAATGTTTTCTCAAACTCAGTCAGAGC